GGGATGTTGAATCTGGAGAGAGGACTGAAGAGGGAACACATCTGAATGGATGTCACATGGAAGATGAGTGAGACTTTTTCCTGCTTGGCACCACAAAACATAACTGGGATGAATAGTTGGGTGTTACAAACAAACATTGTCTTGATGTCAGAAAAAATCTCTCTACCAATGAGAGTAGCCCAAAGGTGAACAGGGTTTCCTCAAGAGCTAATGTTAGCAAGGATTATTTCTATAGCACTTTAAGACTAGCAAAGCCCCTTCTCTCATAAATCCTGTTATTCAGAAATATATAACAACCTCCATTTTACAGATGAGGAAACTGAGGCTCAGGGAGATGGAGTCAACTTTCCCACCATCAAAAAAGCTAGTAACTGGCATGGTCAGGACCTTAATCCCAGTCTCCTGACTTTGAATCGAGCCCCCCAGCCCTGGAAATCTTCCAACAGTCTGGAGAGGTGGCTTCCTGTTGAGGCAGCTTTAGAAGAGATTCCTATTGGGGTAGGGGGTTAGACTAGGGACTCTTGAGAGTCTTTCCAACTCATGTTACTGTGATTCTGTCATTCACCTATCTGAGGGCTAGGGCTTGAACCCTGTGGTCTCTGGATCTCTTGAGAAGACCCTTCTCACTCTTTAGGTCTAGAATTCTATTTCACAATTTTATTCTCCAAGTACACTATCAGTCATGATACTGTTTCTGGTTAACAGTTCTAAAGGTGGAAGGGAACTGAGTAGGACACTGTTGATCAGTTGACTTCCCCTGAGTAATAAAGCTAATAAAACTATGAAGGGGACAGTGGGAGGTGGACAAGCAACATAGACAATGAGGTAAGATCTTAAATTAAGAGCAATGAAGTGTCTACATTTGGTTACCCTTGAGGAGGTATGAAGTTCTTGAGCTTTATGGAATTTGAGGCCAGCCAGTCCATCATTTGCTGGCCAAAGGATAGGCTACACCTCTGGTGGCCTTGAAAAAGGAAGAAACACCCTCAAGTGAGCAGAGAAGACTGGAGACGATTCTGAGAAGTATCAGTTTTGTGAATATAGAAGAAAGCCAGCTATGGAAGAACTAGGTGCTTGAGAGGAAATCATTCCATGCCTGGGGGAGGGGAGAGAAGGAAAGGGAGGGTTGTGAAATTTCTCTCTCCTCCTCCCCTATCAGCCATCATAAATTGGAATTATTTATCCAATTGAAGGCAGCCCATTCAAAAGAGAACAGGCTTAATCTGTCAATACACAAAACCAAAGAACATTGAGAGTCAAGGAAGTGTTAACCCTGGGCATCTGGAGTTAAATTATGGAAAGAGCCCAGACAAATGACCTCTTCATCAGAGATGTTGCATCCAGGAGAAGCCATATGAGAACACTATTAGAAAAGAAAGGACCTAGGGACCTTGTAATAAATACTGAGTCACCCTAGTTAGGTGTATTCCCTACATTACACCATTCTATTAGTATACTCTGTGTTTGTGCCCCCTCTTGCCTCTGATTTTGTGTGTAGTTATGGAAGAGTGTACCCCAGGTTTGGGGGGAAGAATATTTTGTTACTATTATATTTACAACGCCATTTCAGTAAATGTCTTTGCTTTGAGATAATAGTATCTTCTGGCTGAATAACTACACCAGTGGGGGCTTGTCAGTTATATTTATTAATAGACAGTATGAAACTATCCAGGGTTTTCAGTCCACAAGAGACCCAGTCATCAAGGGTGAATTGGGGGAAGACACAGCAACCCAAGAAGGACTGCTACAATTCTATCATGGTTCAGTGTTCAGAGAATCCTGCATTCTAAAAGATTCTTCTGTGATACCATATTTCTGAGTGATGATCAGAGCATTTTAGTTTATCACCTAGGAAATGATGCTCCTTCTTCAGCAGTCTTTTACCTTCTAATTAAGAAAAATTGCTCTACATTTCCCCAAAGTACTGTAATACATGGGACCAGGTACTAATTTATACATTTACAGACAACTATTTTGCAGAGACTGAAGGGATTCACATAATAACAGAATTTCGAAGTATGGAGGGATCCTGAGGGCATTTAGGACTCCAAGTCATTATGCCCTTATGCCAAACCATACTTAAGAAGGAACCTCCTTTATATCATCTCCAACAAGTGATGGTCTAGCCTCTGCTGGAAGAATTCCAACAAAGGGGAACCCACCACCTCTTGAGGGAGCCCCTTCTACTTGAGGATTGGTCTAATTATTAGGAAGTTCTTCCTGACACCAGAACAAGTTGGCTTCTTCACAGTCTCCACTCGTTGCATCCAGTCCTTCATTCTGTAATCAAGTAGAAGGAACCTTAACTGTCTGGCACAACAGCTGGTTGAGCCCCTTTAAATCCCTGAATCTACCTGTTATGTTCATCCACAGCCTTTATTTTTTCTCTTTTCTAGTCTAAACATCTCAGTGCTTTCAAATTATATCCATAGGACATGAAGTGAAGGCCCTTCACTATACTGGCTGCCTTCCTCCGAACGTTCTCCAGCTTATAACCATCAAAACAAAAGTAGCATTTATATAGTACTCTAAGGTTTGCAAACCACTTTACCTTAATTATCTCATTAAGATGTAATACCCCAAACTGGACACAATATTCCAGATGATCTGACCAGGCCAGAGTAGAGAGTCCATCACCTCCTTGGCCTCTGACAATATCACTTATAATATTAGCTTTCTTAGCCTCCGTGACACACTGCTAACTCTTGTTGGACTTGGAATCCCTTAAAAGCCCCAGATCTTTTACAAACCACAGTCTAACTATACTCACCCTCCATTTTGTGCTTGTAAAATCAAATTTTCAAACTCATATTTAGTACTTTACATGATTGAACTTTATTTTATTTGATTTGGCCCAATGGTTGGGCCTATCAAGATCCTTTTGGATTCTGACTGTCATTCAGTGGGTCAACTATAGCACTGAGCTTTATGCCATCTACAAATTGCACGAGCAAGCCGTCTATGATTTTGTCCAAGTAAATGACAAAATTGTCAAACAGTACAGGGTCAGGTATGGATCCCTGGGGCACACCACTGGAGCCACCTTTTGCCAACATGACCTGGATCAATACATTAACCACTACTCCCAATCTGGCCATTCAGCCAATTCTGCATCCATGGACTTTAGCTACTATTTGGGCTACATAATTCCATCTTTTCCATAAGATGGTAGGATTCTTTATCAGCTTTATCAAAGCTGATCTGTCTACAATTTTTAAAAAATTGTTGGTGGTATTAAAGTGAATTATTGTTGATGTTTCATTTTCTACCCATCACTTTGCTAAAGTAATTTTTAAAACAATTCATTTTTAGCTGAGTATTTCAGGCTTCTTAGGCACATGATCATGTCATTTGCTTAGTTATTGTTTAAGTTGGCCATTGCTGAGTTTATTGACTTAATTCTTGGCTATATCTGGTCATTATGGGCAACCTTTCTAACATTATGTTGGACAAAACAGCAAAATTCTGATTGGTGACTGTCTGTTTTTTAATGGAGTTACTCTAATATTTCTCCATTTTGTATAATACTAGCTCACCATCTCAAATGGATATCTGATAATTTTAAACAAAATTCTTTCTTTCCTTATTCTTAGTGCCTTTGACATAACTAAATATTTTATTTTTACCAAAGTCCTTTTAACATGTAATATTATAAGAACATAGTTTTTTTTAAAAATTTTCCCTTGTTGATGTAGCTAAATTAATTATAACCTTAATAGTAAAACATCCTGGTGTTTCCATGAGAAATCCCATTCAGCTATAATTGGATTTGTTCTGTGTTATATCTATGAGTATGTTATTTAATGTTTTATGACCATGGTCATTAATGGCACTGGGCTATAATTTTCTCTTTTAGGGGCCCAGAGGGGTTGAGTGATTTGCCCGAAGTCACACAGTTTATAAGATTTTAAAATCAGGCTCTTTGACTGTAAGCCCAGCATTCTTTCTACCAGCAGAGTGAGTATCACTCTTAGATCGATCCAAAGCAGCCAGGCTTTGGAGACAAAGGGATGGGCAAGATGACTCCTCAAAGTTCCTTCTAATGATTTGCTCACTCCCAGTGGGCCAGGAGAGGGGGTGCCCTTCTCCCTACCCAACAAAAACCTACAGTTAGGTTCATTCTCTGAACTTTACCAGTGCAAAGATAATTCATGCCAACTCCTGTTGACACTGACTCTGTAGCCTATTTTGTACTCCTCTTCTTTTTTTTCCATAGTCTCCCTTCCTAGGATGGGACCTCACTGCCCCACCCCCATTTGGACCATGGTAATGGCCTCTTCACACATCTTACCTCCCACATCTACCTCTCCATGGGCTTCAATCATTTTCTGTTCTGGCCAGAAACTCTGAAGGTCTTCCTCTCCCAAACTGATCCTTTTGTGATGATAAACTAGGCCATCTTTTGCCTCAATTCTTACCTAGCCCTCAGCCATTGAATGGGTGTTGCCTCAGACAAACTGAGGCCTGGGAAAGATCTTACTTTTAAAAGGCCAAGGTCATCCACTCCATCCTTGAGCACTGCCACTCATTTTGACTTTCGTCTTGCCACTGGACATCAATGACTCTTGAGGAAAGGGTAAAGCTGACAACTTCATGAAGCTCTGCCTCACTTAAATCCAATTCTCTCAAAAGTCAAGACATCACTCATGATGTCATTGGTTCTTTTCAAGAACAAAGGATCAAAAACAACAACAACAACAGAGTTCCACATATGACCAGAAGTGGCCAATGGGAGTGGAGGAGTTCTAGGAGCAGGCATAGGGGCCTCTGCATGCTACCAACCCACTTGGGGGTTGGAGGAAGATCTAGCTTCTAGATGTAATAAAGAACATGGAATGGAGGGTCCTGCCCCTGATTTAGAGTATGCACAAATATTCTGTGACTGTTTTTTTTTTGTCAAAGAAGGAGAAGAAGAAGAAGAAGAAGAAGAAGAAGAAGAAGAAGAAGAAGAAGAAGAAGAAGAAGAAAGAGGAGGAGAAGGAGAAGGAGAAGAAGGAGAAGGAAAAAGGAGGAGGAGGAGGAGAAGCAGTGATTTAATTAGCTACAAAGCCAGAAATAAGAGTGCATACCAAAGGCTCCAGTAGAGGAATTGGACCTCTCTTCTTATTGACCACAAGGTATAGATCTAATGGAGGCTTAGTGCACATGTCCAGATCACCTAAGATGGAGGTACCTGCTTCTGGAGAAGGCTATGTTGTCTTACCTCATGGGTGAAGCAGCTCTTTCCACTGGCTGGGTAGCAGAACACATTGTCCTTTTAAAACTAAGAGACTGGGACAGTCTCACTCTTTTTTCCCAAAGTCTCCAGAAAGGGAGAAGGCCCTGTTTTACCCACATCACCAGCATCTTGAACTGAACTGCTGGGCAGAGGAGGGGTAGGGGAGAAGGGCTACTTCCCTCTCCCCCTCCCACCTTCACTCTGTGTCCCCACCCCAAAAATGGGCTTAGGGTTTTGTTCTGATCTGTTCCGTGTGACCTTTTCCATTCTGGCCACAACTTGGTAGAATCTCTGGACCCAGACTCGAATCTTGGCAACTTTGGAGGCAGAATTCTGGGTCAGATGTTGCTGCCAGTCCAGCAGGGAAGGGCTAAGAAACCAGGGTGCTGGGATGCAAGACCAAAGGAGCTTTGGACTTGGAACTTGGTGGGACTGATACTATACAGGGAGTGAGACAGGCTGTGAACCTAACCCCCCTCCCCTCCTCAGGGACTGAAGTGGTACAAGGGGAGATTATGCCCCACCCCAGGTGTTGGGGGAAGAGTTTGTTTATTCTTTCTACACCTTAGAATGTTCTTTAGTAAAAGCTAATCTGACTCTGAAGTGATTGGAGAGAACTGTGTGCAGGGGACCCTTAGAATTGAGGGGACATCATCTGTAGGGCCTGGAGACAATGGTCCCCAAATCCCCTTAATGGTACTGGAGAGGGGAAGGGGGTGGGGGATAGGTTCATAATTTGGTTCAGTCACTTTACAGTATTATGACATAAAGTATGTGAAATACGGCCTTCAGGCAGTCATGCCAAGGTCGTCACTGTTACATAAAGACGACTCTCTAAGCTTTGAAGGGACAGTGAGGCGGTGCCCTTCCCCCTGCCAGGCCATAAACACCAGGCTTTTAGGCGTCCCTGTGTCTGAGATGGGGCTGCCTCCCGCATGTGTCTTCTTTCCTTTGCTACAGAATTTTGTGGGATTTCAAAAGGCCAGAAGACTTATTAGACATCCACTGGTCCAACCCAGGAAAGAGTGATTTGCTTGACCTATTTCAGCAGTAGATCACCCTGGTAGCCCAAACGCTACCTCCTACGTCAGAGGAACAACTCGTATATCAGTGAGGCCGCATCTGGAAGGGAACTGGTTGGGTCCAATTCAGTAGCAGCTATTCCCCAGTGACAGGTAGAAGAAGAGAGAGGATGCCTCCATTGGGGGGGGGGGGATGTGTTTGTGCTCCTGTTCTTGCTATAGTTTATCTATAAATAACTCTTTGTAAAAATAAACTGATATTAATCACTTATTACTGATATAAAGTAGATATCAACTGGTTAAATTAATAGTGGAACATTTATCATTGGTATTGATGATACTGAGGAGATCCTAACTGTCTGTAGGTGATTGATATTAGTGAATACACACCAGAGTCAGGGCTCAAGCTGACAGCATTAGAAGAACATCACTGGCCCTCAGGGGTACAGCTAGAACACTGAGAAAGACAAGGAGCAGTCATTGTGGACCCTACCTGTTAGTGTTAGTGGGGGTTTGGGAGGATAATAATGATGATAACTATGATGATGACAATGTTGACGATGATGATGATGATGATGATGATGAAGATGATGATAATGATGATGATGATGGTGGTGATAGCTAGCATCCCTGTAGCCTGATAAGATTTATAAACCTCTTTACACACATTATCTCAGAGTAATTCTATCAATAGGATTTATCTAGAATTTAGAAAACAACAAATCTGACAAAGTCAATCATTCTATTCTTGCAGAAAATATGGAGAAATCTGGGTTAGACAATAGTACAATTAGGTGGATTCAGAACCAGTTTACTGGCTGAACCAAAAGTTATCAAGGAATATGAAGGTGCACAAGAGATTCTTTATCAAATTGCCAGACGACACCAAAGTGGGATGGGTGGACAGCAGAGACAGAATCTAAAAGAACAAAGCTAGAAGTTTGGACCATATATAATAAGATGAAATTTAGTAGTGATAAATGTAAATTCTTGCCCATTAGGTTCAAAAGCTCAACTTTGCAAGAGGAGGATGTGAGCCCATATAAAAAAAAAATTTGGTGGATTGTACCAGCAGTGTGATGTGTTGGCCAAGGAGCAGTTGGGTCCTAGGCCCTGAGAAAAGAGGTCTAGTGTCCAGGACAAAGGAGATCACAGTCCCACCGCTCAGTGCCCTGGCCAGATCACATCTAGAGTGCCCATCTAAAGATATGGGCATCATATTGGAGGAAACACGTTGATAAACTGGTCCACATTCTGTGGTGAGTAACCAGGATAAAAGTGACTCAAAGCCATGCCTTTTCATCAAATGAGATTGCATAGGTAAAGTATTTGAGAACCTTAAAGTGTGATATAAATGCTTAATGATGAGTTAAAGGAACTGGTGTGGCCCATAGGTTCACAAATTTAGAGGTAGAAGGGACCTTAGAGACTATGTAGTCTGAGCTCCTCATTTTACAGATAAGGAAACTGAGGCCCATAAGGTTATGTGATTTTTCCCAAGGTCATCCAAGTATTAAATGGCGAAATCAGGATCAGAACCTAGGTTCTCTCTCTGCATCTCTAAATCCAATTGCTTTTTCTCTCTACCCTCTGTCTAGTCTGGAGATATAAGGGAATAGGATAGCTGTCTGTATTACTGAAGGGCTGTCATGGCAAAGAGGGAGTTACCTTATTCTGCTTAGCCTGGTGGGCAGAGATTGGTACATGGGATCTAGATGGTAGAGATGCAGAGTTTGATTTAATGTAAGGAAAAAAGCTCCAGTCAGTTGTCCCAAAGTGGAATGGTTTTAAGGGGAGAAGCTGAATTATAAAATAGGAAGCATGCAAGATTTGGAGTCAGAAGACCTGGGTGCAAATTCTGACTGTGTAACCCTGGACAAGTTACTTTCATTTCCTCCTCCTTAAGAAAAAGGGGGGGGAGGGGTAGTCAAGATGACGTCTAAGGTTTCTTTTAGTTCTAAATCTATAAGATTTTCAATGGCTATATTCCATTCCTGAGTACCTTCCCTCTCTTCTCCCACTACCCTCCCCCCCACACACACACAAATCTGCCTTTCAGACTCCTCTTCTGGCCCTCATTCTAGACTCACGGTGAGCCCTGGAAATGCATCTGACCCATGCTCCCAAAGACTCCAGTTCCCTCCACTTTTCTCAGAAGGAAACACTCAGGCTCCCACAAGGTGGTGAGGGGGTGATGTTGTAATCTGGCCCCCATAGTCCCCTAGACTGAGAACTCATTTCTCCAGGCTAAGGAACAAGTCTCACCTGCCAACTCACAGCAGGTCACGGACCACCGGCTAGGTGTAGGGTCAGCCACCCTCCCACACCTGTCAGGACTTATGATCCCCTGCTCTCCTTAGGGGGAAGCTCCCCTTGCAGCCTCCTTATCCTGGCCCTAAGCCAGGCAGCATCTGATCCATCAATCAAGCAGTCTGCCTTCTTCACCCTGAGCCACTGCAGGGAGCCTAGGCTAAGTCTGGGACAAAGAGAAAGGAGAGAGTAGGAAGAAGAGGCAGAAAAAGAAGGGAAAGAGGAGGGTGTGTGGAGATAGAGGAGGGATAGCTGAGCCTGGTCAAGAGCTGGACCTTTTCAAAATAACAGCAAGCCAAGTCCCACTTTCCTAGTGCCCAAAGACTTCCCAAGCTGAGTTCCTGTGACATTCCTGAGAAGGGGATCCCCTCCCCCACTCATTGCTCCGTTGAGGTGGCTGAGAGTGGTGGAGGGGATGTTCAGCCTCACATCTGCCGTCTCCTCCCAGAAGAATCTGGTTTCTAAACAAAGAACTTCTTTGAAGACATCAAGTCTCACTGGTACTCAAGGGCCAAATCTGTTCAAGTGAATGGGGAACAGAATGAGGCAAGAGGAACTTTAGGACTGAGAGTTCTTGCCCAACCCTCTCATTTTACCAATGAGGAAACAGACTCAGAGGCTCTCAGAGTAGGAAGAGTCCAATGCTCTTAATGAATAGATAGAGAAACTGAGGTACAGAGGAGGGAATGGAGTTAGCCAAGGTCACTCAGCTATTGAACAGTTCTCTTAGTTGTAAATCTATTTTCCCCCCTACTCTGATAAGTCTGGTAAGTGCAGTTGAGGAGGAAATGTCTTCCAGACAGAAGAGATGGCCCTCGTAGAGGTATACCCAACCACCGATTAATCAATGAGCTTTCAGTAAATGTTTATCATGTGCCGGGCTTCGAACACAGAAACTAAACAGTTCCTACCCTCAAGGTGCTTATGTTCTAATGGAGAAGACAACATGTATGTGCATTAATGAATAAATATGGACACATATGACACATAGAAATAAAATATAGGATTGCCTTGGAAGGGAAGACATTAGCAACTGGGTGGGAAGGGGCGAGAATATTCTTATGTAGAAAGGGGTACTTAAACTGAGTTTTGAAGGAAGCCAGGGAAGTCGAGAGGCAGAAATGAGGAAGGAGAGCATGGGCATGGGTGGAGAAAGGTCCCAAAATGAGAGACCAGAACTGATGTGTCAATCAGGATTTAGTCACCAAACCACGGACTCCGGCAGCCATCCAATCCAACCTCCAAGTGGCCTCCCAGCCCCCCCCCCCGAAGACTAGTGACCTCCTGAGACAGTGCCTTCGATGGTATGTATGGCAGCTCTGATTAGTAGGAAGTTTTCCCGGACTGCTAGCCTTAGGCGATCTTTCCGCATCTTCTACTTGCTCACAGCTCATAGCTCTGCCCCCTGGAGCCAAGCAGAACAAAGCTATTCCCTCTTTCACCTGACAGCCCTTCAAATACTAGAAATCGTGAGAATACTAGAAGAATACTAGAAGACATGAGAAGTTCTCATGTCCAGTCAGAGTTATCAGATTTGGTTTTAAATCCTGGCTTTGCACCTTGTTACCTATGGAGTCTTGGGCAAGCCCTTCCCAGTCTGGCCTCTGTTTCCTCCACAGTCAAATCAGAAGTCGCTGATGGTCATGGCCCTTTTCCCTGTACCTCTACCTCCTACGGACCTCTCTAGACCCTCTGTTCCTGGGGAACAGCTAGGAGGGCAACTGAGTCACCAGTAAGACCTAAGTGGAGCTACTATGGACCTCCTTATACTTTCTGTCTCTGGGGAACAGCTGGGAGGACAAACTGAGTCTCTAGATCTGACATAAGTGGACAAGACTATTCCTTGAAGACAGTTCTGCTCCTGCCTGTTACTGTTACCCAGTGATGGTGTTGCCAGGTCAGGGAGGCTAGGAAAGGAGGCAGCAATAGAGGTGCCTGGTGACTGGGGAGGCCCATGAGCTTGGAGCCAGCCTGCTTGGGCTCTCATCCCAGCTAGGCTACTTAGCACCTTACTGGGGAGTCAGAAGGGGATGCCTGAAAGATTGCTGTATTTGGATTCAGAGGTCAGGGGTTCAAATCCCAGCTCTGCCACTGACCTGGTTCTCTGGGATCAGTTTCCTTGTCTGTCAAATGAGGGTTTGGACTAAGTTCTCTTCCAGATCCTGATCCAAAATCCAATGACCTGGGTGACCTTGGGCCACGGGATTCCTCTCTCTGAGCTTCAGTCCCCCTCATCTGTAAAATGGGGATAGTGATCTCTGCTTCATGGAGCTATTATGAAGAAAGTTTTTATAATCATCAAAGCACTCTGTTAGTGGGAGGTATTAATTACTGTTAATTATTACAATCATTGTCCTATGGCCAGGTTGAGGACTTGCAGTAATCCTTTCCAACACTAGAGGCTACCCAATCCCACACTAGGTGACTTCATCTCCCAGCCCCCTAGTGGCAGGAAGAGTTATTATATCTCCCCAAGGGTGTTTTTTTTTTGGGGGGGGGTCAGCAATGGGGAGTAAATTCCTTTTTATGGTTATATTTAACAGGCCTAACCCTCAACACTCTCCGTTTTCTGCTCTCTTCTTTCCCTGCCTGGAAATCCTTCCTCTCTCTCACCATCCCAGGGTCCATGAGCTTCCCACTGGGCCACTCTACCTTTCTCTAGATGATCCTCAAACCTCAGTACTTTTGGCTCCCTGGCCCCTTCCACTTCCAAACTTACTTATCCCAAGACCATTGTCTTGGAATGAGAGTCAGAAGCCTGCCTCTGACACTCCCTTGGATAAGTTGGGGCCTCTCTCTGACCTCAGTTTTCTCCTCTGTAAAATGGGGCTGAAAATACTCACTTCTGACTTCCCAGAATACTGTGAGGCTCCATGCTTTACTAGCTGTGTGTCTTTGGGTAAAACTGTTATCCCCTCTGGGCCTCAGTGTCTCTATTGCAAAATGGGGTAAAAACCAGACCATGAGCTGGTTCCAGATGAGAAAGTAAAGAGGAGAATGTTTTGGCCATGTCACATGTAAAGTGGCCTGAATGTGATGGAGAAATGATGATGCTGGCTCTCCACAGTCCACAAGGCTCTGAAGCACTTCCTTAATGGGGTGAGGTTAAGAGGAATGGGAACAGGGACATGAAGCAGGTGAGCACAGCGACATGGGCCCCCAGAGAGGGGGGGAGCCCAAGTCTCTCCTGACCCCAGCTCCAGAGCACTTTCAATTCTGCTACCATTAAGTAAGTCACTCCCCCTGTCTGGGCTTCAGCTTCCTCATCTATACAATAGGAATAACACCCTCCAGAGTTATGCCTAAGAGGAAATGATAGCCACCATATAACAAAGCCCTAGCCCACCATTGTCACCCCAGCTTACTAGGTCAGAGCAGAGGGGACCTGCCCAGAGTCTTCTGAGCTTACCACCAAGATTCTCCCCACTGCACCACACTGCCTTCAATCAGGAGGGGTGATGTCCCCACAGCCAGCCCAACATGAGCACGATTTCATTCGATTCTCAATTATCCTTCGAGATTAAGAGTGCATGGAGTATTGTTCCCATTGTTCGGAGGACAAATGGAGCAAACATAGCAAGTTAGAAGGAAGCAGGGCCAATCTTCAAACCCAGGTCCTCTGTCTCCAGTCCCAAGGCTCTTTGCTCTAGGGGAATCCTTTTCTCACAAAGAAGGGAAACAGCTTAGGAGGTCAGAGTGGCCCTTGGACCACAGAATGTCAGAGTGGATGAGAGTGTAGAGGTCACTGAGTCTAAGTCCTTATGGATGAGGAAGCTGAAGCCCAGAGAGGGTCAGTAACCAGGAGTACTTGGATTGCAGAGCTTTTGACACCAACCTACATAAAGGCTCATAGGAAAAAAAAAAAAGAGAGATTTGGGGCTAAAAGAGCTCTTGGGAGGCATTGAGTTAGAGGAACAGAGGGCCACGGATTTAAAACTGGGGGGGACCTCAGG